TTGTTTCCATGGCTAACTAAATGAATTTAGTCAAGAAAGTAGTGTGAATTGGCTATAAGTCATCAGTACTTTTGTGAAAAAAAAACATATTATAGCTTATATCGCTGAAAAAGCTTAAAAAATGGCGCTTTTTTATGAAGTCATGGCCAACTATGGTTTTTATTTAAAAAAACATATGTTTGTGTTATATGTCAAAAATGACAGGCTTTAGAAAAAATCGGAGAACACAAACTCATTAGGGATGTGATTATCTACAAATTTTATCTGAAAACTTTTTGTCTAAAAGAGATTATAATGGAATTCGGGACAATTTTTAAAATAGCCAAAATTTGTTTTTTTCGAAATATCTAGTAAGCCATCAACTTTTTCAAAAATCTGATGCATATTTATGATCCCACAAAACTGCAATGCTTTCCTTATTTAACCGACCCTCTATCTCCAGTAGTTTCCGAGATACCCATAGAGAACATCGTAGGAAACTCACCCTGAATAATCTTTAGTTGGAACAACCGAAGGTCTTTATTTAAACTCTTCTTTTTTGTAGTACAAAATTACGAACAAATTAATATCTGAAATGATTCTGTTAGAATGCGATAAAGAAACTAGAAGATCGGTAAGCTATTTATAATATTATTGATCTTTCTAATAAGAATTTGAAATTGCTATTTTCATTTTCTTTGCAACTTGCAGTCATCAATAATTATTATACATTTTAACGCATTCTTCTGGCTTGCAGGTGAAACAATTTGCTTTGCAATTTTTTTATGCTGACATCAACTTTCATGCATGTGGATATTTCAATATTAACAGGAAACTTCTTACTTCGGTTAGTAGATAGTAATATTAGAAAGAGACCATCTATTATTTGATCCTTACAGCGATTAATTCTAAATATTTTAGGTGTGTGGAGCAGTTACAACTTATTTGGTAATCTTGTTCCAATTCAATGGGAACGAAGAAAGTAATCATGAATAAGAAATGGAAAAGATCTTTTTGTGAAAATTAATGATAACTATATTTATAACTAAGGAAATCTAGGAACTATTAAAAACTTAATAGAGTATCCAATTATGGATTTCGACAACGAAAATACTTTTTTAAAAAAATTTTATTTTTCATAAAGTATGTTTAACAGATACAATGAATACAATGGTTAAGAACAGAATGACAATTTTAATGCGCTTGGTTATATTTATAAGTTCGGTTTCGCTCGCGTCTTCGTGGGAAAACCATGCTATTTCCTCTCTGAATCCCACAAGCCAATTTTTTGTTAATGTAAATTTTTATGAAGGTCTCTTGTACGACGTTGATGTCCTGAGGAAGGAATGAATAAATTCCGAAAGCTTGTCAAGTAACAAAGTGTATTAATTCTATTTCAAACCCTTCCGACTGCAACCCCACTAGTTCCTAGATTTTCTTTCTCACTAGTCAGTCGATACTACTGTCTGCTTTATAACTAAGTATATAATATTATTAGTTAATAAGTCAATAATATTAAATTGAGTAATCTCCTATATGGATTAATATAATCTCCTATACCGGGTGCGTCTCCAAAGTGAGTCACCCCTATAATTTTTTTTATTTTTTCAGTTAAAAAAACGAAATTTGGTATATTAGTATATGGCATAAATTAAAATTTAAAAATCAAAAGTTGTAGTCATTTCCGGTGAAACAGGCAGTGACAGAAAACAATTGAATACGTCAATAAATCCTAATTTATGCCATAATATGTTTTTTTTATAATTGGATAAAAAACGAAATTTGGTATGTTAGTATATTATACTAACATACCAAATTTCGTTTTTTAACTGAAAAAATAAAAAAGTTATAGGGGTGTGCCACTTTGGAGACGCACCCGGTATAGTAAAAGTTAGTATTAATGTTACTTAGTTAAATTAGTAGTTATTTAGTATTATTATGTAATAAGTTCGAAAATTTAAAAAAAAAATTGATTTATTTAAAAAAATTAGAGTCACTGGATTTTTGTCTGTATTTGCATCCCTTTTAACGCGGCAACCATGGTACACTATCAGAGATAACCAAATTATACCATGGGAAATTTGCGCTGGACAGGCAGTTGTAAAAAGTTTTTAAAATATACCGGAAAATTTAAAAGAAAATGCGCGATTTTCAACATTTTTGCGGAAAAACTCATATATCATCCCTGAATATATTTGCACTTATTTAAGACTCACCCTGTAAGACTAATATAGTATTTTCGACTAATATAGTATTTTCGGTGTTATTTTAATATTTAGTAATATAGTATATCATAAATTATCTAAATATTATAATAAAGATTAATAAAATAACTACTACTTATAAAAAGAGAATAAATTTTATTAGACACAACACGTGCCTTGGTTAATTTTTAAGAGCTAAATGAACTTGCTACCAACAATTTGCAATTTTTTCATCTATCATTAGAGCTAAAAATAAAAAATATATAACGTTTTAAAAACTAGACCAAAAATTTTTCCGTTGCGTTTTTTTGGCATCTGAATGGTATATATCAAAGGAACATTACCTGATTTACCTGCAATATAAATTAACTTGAAAATGGAGTAACGATTCAGTTTCATCTTCAAAAATATAGAATTTAATGAAAATATTGGCGAATGCGCTAGGCCAGCAATAAAACTTTTAAATTGACTTAAATTGTATATTTTTATTTACTAATTTTTCCAGCCTTTGTTCTACTAATTGATACTAATAAGAAGCTAATAAGATCTAAAGGAGAGGTATGAGACGTGAGACTCTCTGTGGGATTATCTTTGATAGACTAAAAAATTGTATAAAATTACTAAAATTAGTTAGTTATTCTCTTCCTCGTTACTACCTATAAGTAGAGTATACAAATATAGGCTTTTTACAAGTGGAATGCAAAAAATGGATAGTAAAGATTGAAAACAAGCAATTTTTTTAAAACTATACAGGGTGGTCCGAACTGTATTCCGAAAACTTCAGCAGCATATTCTGTAGATAAAAATAAGTAAAAAAGTTCGTATAAATGTATGTCCTAAAATGCCTAGTTTCGGAGATACAGGGTGTAGAAGTGTCATATTTATTTCGATTTTCCTCAAATAATTTCTAAAGTAACGTCAATATTTGGATGAAAATTGGTGTCTGGGAGTTCTTTGACATGAGAAAATTGATTTTGATGTCAATATGACTCCTATTTGTAAAGAGCGCCCTCTACATGCTTTTAAACTGTTTTGAAAAGTAATAACTTTTTGTCCGTACCTGTATAAAACTACTGAGTAAAAAACTATACATTTCCGTGATTTTTATGTAAAAAATGTCACCTGGTAGAAATCGCTAGGAGCAACCGTTCTCAAGATATTTAGAATGCAAATAGTCAATACATATCATTATTGACAAAAAATAAACATGTTGAGTAGATAGTTATTAGACTGAAATACAAAACAAAAAATTTAAAAAAAAGCAATATAGAGACCATCAGAACCCACTGTTCAGCAAAAAAAAATTATGCCATATTTTATTTAATATTTTAACATTCAGAAAACAATCTGAGACATCAAGTTGCATAACCCGACTTATTCATTTAAAAAAATGACCTAATGACGTATATTAATTCGGACCCAAAAATCTGTTTTTGGGGACACCCTGTAGAACTCTCTATATTTTTAAAAAGTTGAACATATGCTCACAAAATTTAATTTCAATACAAACTGTTGTTCTCCGTGGAGCCTCCGCGGCGTATGAGAGGCGCAACCCTGTATATAGGGTGTTCCATTACAAAAAACACAACTTTGATGTGTAACTTTTTTTGGAGACACCCTATAGAACTCTATATAATTTTAGAAAATGCTTTAAATTGACGTACATAAGCTTACAAAATTTCATTTCAATACAAACTTTTGTTCTCCTTACAAAAACCGCGTAGTATATGACGCGCCACCATGTATAATTCGATTTCAATCAAAATTTCAGTGATTAGAATATAGCCAGAATAGGTATAGTTTATGCATTAGATTTATTTATTTCAATAAATTTACTTTGAAAGAAAAATAAAAAAATAAAAAATAAGAAGGAAATAACTAAGAATTTACTAAAATAAAAAAATAAAAGCAACGAAAAAAAATGGGTAAACATTTTAGTATTTTATCTATAAAACACAATACAGAAGGTTTCACATTAATACATTCACAGTAATTGAATTCCGAGGTAAAAGTCTCTGGGCACTCTCCTATTTACCTAGTTTTAATAAAATAGCATATCTAATAAAAAATCAAGTTAGGCTGCAAATATAATATGCAACAAAACCCGCCTTATCCAAATAATTTTTTATATTTTTTTTAAATTGAATATTAATTTTTATTTCTAGAAAAACGAGATACAAAACAATGATTCCACTCAATGGATACGTTTTTAGTGTTCCGTACCCAAAGGGTAAAAACGGGAACCCATTACTAAAACTTCGCTATCCGTCCGTCCGTCCGTCTGTCACAAAGAACCGTTATAGCTAGACAGCTGAAATTTTTACAGATAATGTATCTATGTTGCCGCTATAAGAACAAATACTAAAAGCAGAATTAAATAAATGTTTATAAATAAAAAAGTACTTTGACTAAACATCTTTTAAGTAAGAATTTTACATAAAATCTTTCAAGTCCTCGGTGGCCGCGTGATTATAGCGTTAGGACTTTACGCTGCTATGACGTTGGAGCCGTAGGCAGGTTCGAATCTTAGTCAAGGCGACTTTTTTTAATCGTTTTTTTTTTTAATTTTTACATATTTTTACTTTAACCCTTCGTACGCGAGTCCGACTCGCACTTGACCAATTTTTTTTGTAAAATAACGCTTCAAACATTTGCAAAAACAGTTTTTGCATATTATCTCCAAACAATATTTGTGGAATAAGACGGGTTTTACAACTTGGCGCCTCATATGTAGCATTGATAAGATACAAGATATAATAATTTATTGATATTATTTACTGACGTAATAAAACAACTACTATATTATTTATTTTTATTTTACGTTACATATAGGACTGTTATTAAATCTACTAAAGAAATTATACATTTGGAATACTTTTCATCACAATGACCACTCTTCTTTCCGACGTCTTCCGCACGAAGTATTTTTTTCGTAAAGCCAGATTGATACGATTCCGTTTCTGCTACTGAACTGTTCGTTTTCTCCAAATCCAGAGACGGTCTATAAAAAAACACAAAAATCTTATTTAAATCGTGACGTATTAAAAAAATTATACTAAAAATCTATCAATAAATCCAATTTATGAAAAGAATCAATAATATAAAATGAAGTCTAAAGGTAGTGTAGTATCAGACATAGCTACTTTGGTTGCGCAGCACCTTAAAAAACTGCGCAACTTGATCTGCTGCAAGTGTGAATACCTAGGCAACCTGCAACGTTGCGATCGCAGCTTGGTTGCGTAGGCTACTTTTTTGTTGCGCGCCGTTTAAGAAATAGCCGTGTGTGAACAGTTGTTGAGGAAGGTTGCAAGTGCAGCAAAAGATTACTAATTGGTTGAAACTTTTACTGTGGACATCAGTGCAGTAGATATTCTGTTGGTATGCCCGAAATGTATACACTTTTTTTCAGTTAACTCCAGGATTTATATGTAGGTATTTAGTAAAGAATTAACTGACAAATTGCGATGTCGTCGAAGTCAAAACAAGCGATTTGGAACAGAGAACAAGTGAAATGTTTAATAGAAGCGGTAGAAGCAAGGGAGTGTTTATGGAACGTAAAAAAAGTCCATTCTACCACAACTAAACGAAAAGACGAGCCGCTATTTCGGAAATTTCTTCTGAATTACATATGCCCGATGAAGACATAAAAAAGAAAATTCACACGTTGCGTGCACAATGTGCACAATATTCGAAAGAACGTTCAAAAATGAAAAGTTCCAAATCTGGTTGCGCAGCAGACGAAACCTACAAAACAAAATGAGAATTTTACGGCATGTCGTTTTTGTCGCCGCTTTTGTTTCGCCGCCAAAGTCATATATAAATATGCCGCTGCTAACATTGTCTCGTCATCCATTTAAAAAAAAACGCAACCGTCTCCCAAAATGTACACACACGATACCTTGAGCTGTGGATGGTGTACTGTTGAATATTGCCTCTCCAAGGCTGCGGCTACTAAAATATGTTGCAAAAGTAGCGCTTTGGTGTGAACATATGAAAAGCATGTAGAGTCGATCTGTAACTTTTTTAGGCAGCTACTGCGCGTTTTTGGCTACTTTCTGCTGGTGTATCAACACTATAATGTATGCAGCTTTTGCAGCGGCTGCAAAAAATGTAGCTATGTCTGATACTACCTTTAGTAGACCTAAAAAATAAATCCTCTATGGGTATTTCGCCACTGCACTGCAAGAGAATATACAAAATAAAATAATTATTTTTTGTAAACACTTCTGCATTAAACCTAAACGGACGCTGCTTGTCAGAAGTTATGTTTACAGTAATACAAATTTGCCTAACAAAGAAAAAAAAAATGCTTAACGTTTCGGAAAGTTATCTCTTTCCGTCGTCGGAAGCAAAAAAAATACAAAGAATAAAGAAAAAAACTATTTAAAATATTTAAATTCAACTATTCGAGAACACTTTACTTTTTTTTAAACAGATACGTCTACAGGAAACCGTTGACGTTCTGTTAAAATGACATTTTTAACTTGATATTTAAACTTCAAAATTAACAATTACTACCTGATAACAATTACTTAATAAGGTAAAACCAAAAAGCCCCAAACTTTCTGTATGATTATTTTTAAATTTTACGTATGTTATATTTATTTATCTTGTTGTATCTATTGTTCTTTAAAATCAAAGAAGCGATTGCCATACATTACTAGCATCTACAGATGCATGAGCAATACATTTATTTGTATTAGATTGTATTAAAAAAGCCTATTTTATTTTTCTTTTAGGTGCTATCGCTTCTTTCATTATAATTTTGGCATTATTAACAAATAATAAAAAAGAAAAGAAAAAAATACACAAAAATAGACAAAAAAAATCATAGACACAATGATAACTGTAGCAGTATCATAGACCGATACTGGGAACAGTGGCAACGCCGCGACTACCGGCGAGGTCGGAGATCAGCTGACGTGCCGGCGATCGATAGTTTGGTAGAAACGGGGACTGTAAATAAGAAACGTGTTTGAGTGTTTTAATATTTTTGTTGATGTATTAAGTTGATTAATTGTTAATTTATTTGTTTAAACTCGACTTGTGAGTATTCATTTCTACATTTTGGCGACGAGGATAAACAACTAAAGGTATGTAAATAATGCACTTACGACAGTTACGACTTTTAACCAAACAAAATAAGATTTTGGTGCATTAAATTTATATTAATAAAGCATAATATGTATGCACTGATGAAAAGGAAAGAAGGCATAGAAATGTATGCAAAACAAAGTTTTAATTAAGCATAAAGGTATGCAATATTATGTTACTTGTTACTTTATGTACATATGTTTGGGGTCCCTATAATAAACATTAAGTTGTTAAAGCATAATATGTATGTGTATAAAAGAGGGGGAAGCATAAAAGGTATGCAATGTGGAGTTCAAATATGCATAAGAGTATGCAATATGTTACGTATTCTAAATAAATAATATCTAAACGATTGATAAAGCATAAAATATTGTTAATAAAGCATAAAATGTTGTATGCAATGTAATATCTAAACGATTGATAAAAGCATAAAATGTCGTTAATAAAGCATAAAATGTTGTATGCAATGTAAAAAAAATGCAATGTAAATCGTAATATAAAACAATATAAAGCGTAATAGGTATGCATAAAACAATGTAAAGCGTAATATGTATGCGTAAAATAAAAGATTATAAAAGCATAAAATGTTGTATGCAATGTAAATCGTAATATAAAACAATATAAAGCGTAATATGTATGCATAAAACAATCTAAAGCGTAATATGTATGCATAAAATAAAAGATTATAAAAGCATAAAATGTTGTATGCAATGTAAATCGTAATATGTATGCATAAAACTATGTAAAGCGTAATATGCATGCATAAAACCAATGAAATCGTTATAATTTGGTAATAAACAAATTCCCAAATGCCAATATTGTTGTTTGTCAAATTGCAGAGGCAACTTGACAACATGGATTTACAAAGGGAAATAAAACCAAATGCACGACGACTGGCAAAAAAATGGCAGCGCAGTCTGGATATATATTTTCTGGCAACTCCATAACTGATGTTAAAAAAAAAAAGAGCAAAACTCTTACACTATGGTGGAAGTGAGCTCCAAGACTTGTTCTACATACTGCCTGGCGCGAATGTCGATAAAACCGTCGAAAAAATAATGTAGGGACATTGCAGTTGAAAAATACAACCCAAAAATTCATTTACCCACTAGTAGATATAAAAAAACATTTTTTGGTAAACTCAGTCTCAAATAGTTTCTGAAAAATAAAATTATTTTTTTAAAAAAGGTCCGATTAAATATATATCTCCGAAACGAAGCACTGCTTACGAACGACATGTATTCTTTGGATTCTGCCAAAACACTGGGGAACTAGTAGAGCAATTCGCATATCGTTTAAGGAAACAGGTAAGCAAATGTAATTTTACACATGATGTAGATGAGTATATTCGATTTATATTATAATATCAAAAACGAACAATGAAAAACTACAAGTTTTCATTTTGAAGCATGACAAACTCAAAGCATCCCACTTCATGAAGTATTAAGCCTTGCGAAAGTATAGAAATGGCTACTTTCGAACATGCGTCGGTTAAGTAGAGCTGGTTAAGTAGAGCAGTAGCATCGTAGGGACTAAAATATTCAGCAAAGTAACTGAGAAATTAACTCAACTGTAACTGGTAAAATATTTACGTTAAGTTAAATTGTTTTTGCAGTCAGGTTTCCCAGACACTTTAAAAATCCGGATATGTCTGGGTAAATCCGGACGTATAGAAACCCTAATAAAAGATATATGCAGATGTTTTTGAAAAAACTTGGGTAGTCCGTGACTAAAACAGAAATCTAAAAAAAAAGTTATTTTTTTTGAAAAATGCCACTGTTTTAGAATCCAAATGGAACCCAGTTTGTCAATGGCTATTTTTACTCGTAATAAAATTTGTCTAACCAACAAAACCATTTAACTTTTCAGGTGGTACAACAAATACACTGACGCGACATCTATAGGGCTTGACCTCGACAAAATTATCATCGAGGGTCATTCCCCCGCCGTCTTTGATGCCGTTTTTTTTTATCCTATATATTTATTATTAGATATAATGGCAATATAGCCAGTTATAATATATAGTTTTGATCACTAAAAATTAAGATTTTTCAACAATGTTACAAGGGGTTCAATTTTACTCTGTAAGAGGATGAAATCACTGGTCTAGCTAATAAAGTAATATCATTTAAAAGAATTTTTGTGATAATATTAATGTGTCTAAAGCCAATGGTAACAAAATTTTATAATATGTACAAATTGATATATCGGGTGCGTCTCAAAAGTGGTTCACCCTTATAACTTTTTTATTTTTATCAGATAAAAAAAAACGATATTTGGTATGTTAGTATATGACATAAATTCCAAACTAGCATTTATAGTGGCAGGTGGCAGATACGTAACTGCTACTATCAAAGCCACCACAAAGTGGGCAGTGACCTACGGCGGCTACGTCGTATATTCGTAGCTGCTAAGTAACTGCGACCAAAATTGGGAAAGATTTTGAGTAGCCGGGTAGTGTCTTGGGTAGTTTTGCCACTAAAAGAGTTACTATGATGTGTTACTATAAAGTAGTCTACTGGTGATGCTACTTATCTGCTACGAAGCTGCCTAGTCGCGGGTTCGTAGCAGCCAAGTGTTTTCCACCGACATGACATGTGGAACTTTCGTTAAACTGTTAAACTTTATTCGCAGCGACCTCTTCAGGCGATTTCACATTTCATAAAAATAAATGTCATGATGGAAAATTATTATGGAAGCCATTATTATTTTTTTCGATATTTATCCTGCGATTTTAAGGTCTTTTGTAGGTAAATTCCAGAACGCAATCGACTTTTCTGAATAAATTAGTGGGTTTATATGACAAAATTTTCGAGCGCCTCTCAAAATATTTCAAATTTTTATATTATTTGCAATAGAAACTCATGAAAAAAAATAATAATAATTTGCTTGAAACTGGGGTCAAAC